TTAATCTATAACGAAAATCTGCAACTTTCGTTTTGCATCTTTCAAAGCACCCATAATGCATATATTCATTTGTTCAGGCTTTTACTTCCCCTAGGTAGGAATTTCAAATGACTGAGATGGGGTCTTATTAATGCCCTGGCTGGCCTTAAGTGACCCTCTTGTCTAAGCCTCCCAAGATATCATCTTTTTTAAAGTCTGCTAAAGCTCTTTATTTTTATGGTACTGGGGACTGAATATAGGGCCTTCTGCTTGCGAATATACTCTACCAGCTTCATCCTGTCACTTTCAAGACAAGTCCTTTGTAGGCTAGCCACACACAATCCTCTTGCTTTAGTCTCCCAATTGCTAGGGAGTACAGGTGTGGTAGAAATAGTTAGTCACTGTGTTCTTCAGGTCCAGAATTTGGAGCATCTCAAGCTTATTTTGGATTGCTAGGCAACTTGTAAATCTCCATTACTCTGGAGTAAGGGATACTTCCTTTGGTAGGCTCATGTTTCCCTGGCTGTTAATGACCCCTATGGCTATTGTGTCAGTGTTGCGCATTTTTAAGAAAAAATATTTTTAAACATTTTTAAAATTTTAATTGTAGTGTATCTCATTCTTAGGTTGTGCTGAGGATCAAACCCAGAGCCTCACACGTGCTAAGAAAGCGCTCTACTGCTGAGCGAAAACCCAGCCCCAGTATTTCACATTTTTTCAGTGAACTTAGATGAGAAGCCCTTTACCTGCTAGCTTATCCAGACATTGTGGGAAGGCCACATAGTGTAAATCTGTAGGTGAGCTAAGCTTGTACCCTTCAGATGTGAACCTAAAGCCTACTTTTTTTTTAAAAATGGTGCTGGGGATTGAACCCAGGGCCCTGTGCACTCTACCAACTGAGCTATACCAAGCCCACCTGAAGCATATTTTCTGAAGTCTGCATCTACAGGTGTTGGTCAGGAGCCTGAGGATGTTGGTCCTTTGGGACTGGACTGGACGATGGGGCCATACTGGCCAGTAACGAGGTTTGCAGTAGGGCTGTTATTGGGGTCCAATGAAATTCTGCAAACTTCACTCCTTCCAAAATTACATGAAGTGTGCTGTCTGGGGTTAGAGGATGAGTGATATAGGTCTATTACTTTCTGTAAGGCAATGAGACCCCTACTGTCCTATTTGACCACCTTCCTAACAACATCTATTTCCCTACATTTAAAAAAGGCAACTATTATCAACCACTTCTTATATATTCTACACTTTCTATACATAAAAACTATTTTACATACACATCACTCCAGAAATGTGAAATAAAAATAATTCCTTATTTTCTAGAGCCACACTCTTTAATAGCCGTAGCTACTTTGTGTTTCTCCTATCTTAGCAAGTGAACAGTCACATCATAATAGGAGCTATTCTAGAGAGGTTGGCAAAAATTTCTGTAGTCAAAAGGTCTCTGCCAAACTCTGCTCTTGTTCACACCAAGAATACGGTACACCAGGCTACATCCCTGGCCCCAGAATTTCATATAATTTTCACATCATATTTTAATCTCATGAATTAAAGGCTTGGTCACCATACTGACATTACCAATAGGTGTTTTCAGGTCAATGTAGGCATGTCCTGAAAGAGACATTTGGACAGGGGTCCCTTCCTCCTTTATACTTTGTGGTTATGAAGTATTTTTTTATGTGGTGCTGAGGATCAAACCCAGTGCCTCACATCTAGAGGAGTACTCCACCACTGAACCACAACCCCAGCCCCAAATGTGCTTTTTTTAAGTTAACAAACTTGCTGCTTATTTCTTCTGTAGACATATTGGGTTGTTATATTTGACTTAGAGTGACTGAAAAGGACTCCTGGGTTCAATCCCCAGTACAAAAACTAATAAGCAACAATTGGCAAACATCTTTACCAGTTTGTGTCTCCAGTTATTTTTTTCATACAGAATTTGCAATAATCTAGTCATTTACCATTCATTTTGTTTTTAACTAAGAAGGCAAACTTACTGTAAGAGTATATATTTTTTTTAAAAAAAGGCACTTTCTTTGTTCTTCTCAAATTTAATTTCTGTATATAAATCTGTGCCACAAAATTTCAATGGCATTTTTTTCCTCACAGTTATCAAGTTGTCCCAACGTTGTCATAATGTTTTTAAACATATTCCTCACAAATGCCAGGCAAGCTCAGCCCTGCATATAAAGAAATGAATAAAATAAAGGTCCATCAACAACTTTAAAAAAAAAAAAAAAAAAAAAGAAAACTTCACAGTATCTTTTTGGACTTCCTTATCTGCTCAATTGATATGCAGTGCTAAGGATTAAATCCAGTGCCTCACATGTTCTAGGCAAGCATGCTACCATTGAGCTACACCCCCAGCCCTGTAATATGGTATACTTACTGGGATCCTAAAACAAAAGGACTTTAGGTTAAAAAAAAAAAAAAAAAAAAAACAAAAACTTCGGAGGAGCTGTAGGTATAACTCAGTGGAAGAATACGTGCTTAGCTTGCTCAGGGTCCTGAATTTGAGGTCCAGTACCACAAAACAAAAAAACTAAGAAAACCCCAATAAAATATTGACTTAAATACTAATGAATCAATATTAGCCTATTCACTGCAACAATCATAACACACTAATGTAAGATGTTTTTAGGGGAAAATGGATGTGCTTCACTGGAAGTATTCTAAAATAAACTCCATTCCATGTCCATGATGTTACCCCTTTCCTGAGGAGTAAAGTTATCCTTAACATGCAGCAGGGAACACTCTCACGCCTCAAAGGAGCTTTACTGAAGGACAGGAAGGCCAAATAAATAGGGGTTCCTTTGAATCAGGCCTTAGGCTACAGAATTGACAAATATATAATCCATCAAGTTGGCTTATATATACTCCTAAATAGTAGTTAGTAGAAACATGTTGCTGAGCTGAAATTTTAAGTATTACAATTAATTGGTTAATTCAGTGAAATTGTGTATATTGACAAGTCCATTAACTAGAGCTGCTCATAAAGCCCTAATTAAGCAGTAAGATTCACAGGAGTCTTCTCACTCTTTTCAAGTTCTTAATTAATTGCTCTTAGCTGGTTGTTTTCCTTTGTATGAATTCCTAGGTACTTAGCCACCTTTTTGCATTCCTTTGAGGTTTACAGAGTTAGCCCTCTGGGCTTTGTTTTCCCCATTGAAATCTGAGACAGGATCCAAAATTTCAATGTAAAAAACCCCCAGAAAACCACTTCCATTAGTTTCTTTGAACTTAGCAAGAAGAACATAAAATAATGATAGGTGTCTGAGATAACACTTATTATTATAGTCCCCTACTTACCTCTTAATATAGTATAGGTTTGGGACCTAAAACCTGGCCAGTACTTGTGTTTATTGCTACCTATAACAGTTAGCAGCTTGGATATTCACAGACAAAAAACCCTGGCAATCTAATTCCACTGTCCATTGAAGCATGGGAAAAGAATAAAAAGAGAAAAGAAAGGGATTTAAAAAAACAAAAACACCCCCCCACCTTAAAAAAAAACTATTCAAATGTTTTACTTCATCTTCTTAAGACAACAGGACATAAATTTGCTGGAAAAAAAGAGAAACAACTGTTATCAATTAGGAAATCTGTGCATGATTATGTCATTAAAACCTCTTGGGATATTATTACAGGTCCACAAACACCAAATTATCCCTTTTAAAGTGGTGACTTAGGAACCTCTTCTCTGTACATGGGTAGTCCTATCTGTGGTCAGGAATTGAGACTCCAGATTTAAAGGCTTACAGAGGACTAATAGCTCAGGGGCAGAGCACAGCCCTAGGTTCAATCTCCAGGACCCCCACCCCCACCATCAACAAAAACCACCCAAATCCTATGGAGCTACCAATGACATAAAATTTTTCTTTTTCTATTTCACTACCTTGGACAAAGTTCATGATCAAAGGCTCTGCTGGCAACTGAAGACTGCTATCTTCTTCCTTAAGATCTCCCCAAGACATGCATTAAAAATGGAGAGAACCACTATGATAAAAGTATGCCCAAACAATTCCCAACGAAAGAAACAAGAACTAATTTACTTTAATTACCTTTGTCCTCTAAGAGATGAAAAAAGAGTGTATGGATATAGGAAAAAAAGTACTGTTAACATGGAATTTTAAGTGGAACACATTGGTAACACTGAACCCGTCACTAATGAGCTATTTGACTCAAGGCCCAAATAATCTACAGAACAGGGTCACCAAACCATATCCTGTATACAGGCCAATTCTAGCTTGCGGCCTACAGGGTTTTGTTGTCTGTGGTACTAGGAATTAAACCCAGGGTACTTTATCACTTGAGCTATATCCTCAGCCCTTTTTATTTTTTTGAGGCAGTCTCACCAAGTTGCCCAGACTGACCTTGAATTTGTAATCCTCTTGACTCAAGTATCCTGAGTAGCTGAAACTGTGCATGTCTAGGCTACAACCTAATTTTTAAATTATTTTTTTAAGGGTGGGTGGGGGTGTTCCAGGGAGTGAACCCAGGGGTCATTGAGCCACATCCCCAGCCCTGTTATGGAAAAAAATGTGACACTCTATTTTTATGAAATTCCAAGTCCAGTGCTCATAAATAAAATGTGTTGAAACATAGCCATGAGTGTTTGTTGCTTTCACACTACAATTGCAAAGTAGTTACAAAGACCACATGGCTGCACAAGCCTAAAATATTTATGATCTGGCCCATTTCGGGATGTTTGCAGATCTCTAAGAGTATACAATAAACTTTTTGTATTGGTGAAATGTCCTAGCTGTCCAATATGGTAGTCACTAGTCAAACAGATTGATATTGAAAAACTGGTTTATTTCATTTTTACAACTTAACTAGCCATATGTATTGTACAGCACACCTCAAAAAAAATGACAGTTGGATTTTAAGCATTTGCCTCTCACATACTAGGCAAGTACTCTACCACTGAGCCACAACCCCAATTCCCTCCATAATTTTAAGCTCTTCCACCCATCTGAGCTGAAATATATAACAAAAAGGACTATATACATTACTTGTCTTGGTGTGCACAAAGTTGTCAGATGTCTGAGGTCCTGATGAAGACAGGTTTCTCATTCTCATTCAGGTTAAAGTATCTAGGATTCAAAGGTAAAGGATTACATGTTTTCCTTTAAGACTATCCTTTGGGTGCTGAGGCCCTGCACATGTTAGGCAAGTGCTCTAGCACTGAGCTAACATTCCCAGCCCCAGGGTACTTTTCTAACTAAAAAAAGTTGTTTGCACCCAGACTAGGACCAACTCCACAAGAGGAGTCATTCCACTCTCAGAGGTGCAGAACACTGCCTGAAGGTACTTAGCTACAACACCAAAACAGTGCTTGGAGCCAAACCTCAATAAAGACAGTGCTTGCTCTTCCAACAGTGTAACACAATCACAGGCACCACACTAGCCTGGATAGCTGACAACCGCTGGATTGTTTCTGAAACAAATTTCTCATCCTTACAGCCTCTACCCTCATAGAAGACAGAGTTACAGTAGTAGCTGGAAGGAGGAAAGGAAGCACTTTCCATGCTTAAAAAAAAAAAAAAAAAAAAAAATTCAATTTTTTTAGTTGTAGCTGGACACAATGCCTTTATTTATTTTTATGTGGTGCTGAGGATTGAACCCAGAGCCTCGCACATGCCAGGCAAAGGCTCTACCTCTGAGCTATAACCCCAGCCTGCTTTGGGGTATTTTATCCAACATTCAAGGAGTTCCTGCCATGTGCTAGGGGCTGAAATTGGGATCTAGCAGTGAACGAAGATACACTACCCTTTCCCTCAAAAATTTACAATCTCCCTGTAAATACCCCAGATGGAATGACATAGCAAATCTGCAAGGTCCTACATATTTTCACCCAAACCACCAAAATCCTACTTTAATTGCTTAGAGACTGAATTTATTGGGGGCAAACAGTGAATTTCATTCCAATTATTTCTCTTTCTTTCTGTACTGGAGATTGAACCCAGGGGCAATTGACCACTGAGTTATATCTGCAGCCCTTTTTATTTTTAATTTGAGACAGGGTCTCAGTAAGTTGCTTAGGGACTTGCTAAATCGCTGAGGCTAGCCTCAAACTCGCAATCCTCTTGCCTCAGCCTTTTGAGACTGAGATTATAGGTATGTGCCACCATGTCTGTCACAGAGGAGGTCAACAACTCTAGAATGAACAGGGATATTTATCTGAAAACTCCACATGTACACTGTCACCCATCACTATTTCCTCTCTTCTGGAGGGTGAAGAATATCACAATTTCAAGTCATCCTAAAAAGGCAGGCAAGTAAGATTTAATGATCTATTATACATTACAGTGACTATAATAACAATGCCTTATACATTTCAAAATTGCTAATATGAGAAATTCACTCACCTGCCGCCCAATGGCAAAGAATGGACTCAGAGACAGGAGGTACAGTCAGTCTTGCAAGATCCAGTGTCTGGTGACCATGCATCCCTAGAACAGCCACATCCAGCATTTTATTCCCTAAAATGCAGTTTCCCTCCCCTGGTTCCTCACAGGCTAAATACTATGGGGTTATAATCTTCCTGAAAGTTGCCTAAGTTTCCTTACAGGTTTCTCCCTTTTTGGTTGTTTCCCAAACCAATCAAATTTAGGCGTATGGGCTGGGATTGTGGCTCAGTGGTACAGCGCTCGCCTAGCATGTGTGAGGCCCTGGGTTCAACCCTCAGCACTACATATAAATAAATTTATATATATAAAAAATTTAGGTGTATATATTTGAAAAAGTGAGTTTATCTAAGTCCATACCTTTTTTCCAGCCATTCTCAATTTCACATCTAACCTCCTGGGGAGAAACAGGAATGCATGGAAAACTCAATGTTGGGGTCTGAAAAGGAACCTAGGTGGGCGCAGTGGCGGAAGACAGTCATGGGGGAAGTGGGGGGGTACACAGAAGGACTACAAATTCGAGGCCAGTCTCAGCAACTTAGCAAGGCCCTAAGCAACTGTCTCAAATTAAAAAAAAAAAAAAAATTTAAAGGTCTGGGGATGTAGCTCATTGGTAAAGCGCCCCGGCTTCAATCCCCAATACTAAACAAAACCCACGAATCTCAAAACTAGACTGCCTCTTTTGGGGCCTCTGATTGCAGAAGCTGCCCCAGTTCCACCCGACACGTGCTCCTCACGATCTTCCCAAGCTCTCTGCCCATGGCGGCGCCGGGAGAGCGAGGCTTCCAGAGTCAGGCTCCTGGCGACTCTCCAGTGAGATCCGCAGAACATAGAGGGCGGTTCTGAGGCTACGATTTCCCAGCGTCTTTTCAAAAGAGTCCTCCAAGCCTGGGATCACCAGGGAACAAACCCCAATTCCGTCCCGTGCCCTGGCAGAAGCCTCCCCACACTCCATCTCGCCTCAGGCGAGTAAACCCCCCAGACTGCTGCTCACCCGGCCTTCACTCACCCGCACGTGTTCGGAGCTCCGCAGCGGGTGCTACTCCGGGCAGAGGCCGCAGGGGAAAGGGCAGGCGAGGGCTGAAGGGAGCCCCGCCCCGGAGCGGCTGCAGGGCGGAACGTCGGGGCGGGGCTTGAAGTCCCGCCCAGGAAAGGCCGATTTAAAAAAAAAAAAAAAAAACGCGAGGGTGGTGGTGCAGGTGAGGCTCCGCGGGAGAAAGGACTGAGGTCCTAATCGTGGCTACTTTTGTTGGACTCCCAACCCATGTCTTACTTATGGGTAGAAGGGGAGCTGGGTTAGGAGCTGCTAAAGAGGGTACCTACGTCTTAGTGGGACCAGGCTGGCTGCCAGCCCGCATCGAATGCGCTAGGGATTTCTCTCCCGTGCCTGGCACATTTTGGTTGCTGCCGGTGTAGCTCGCGCTTTTGCACCTTCTACAAAGATCCTCTTACTGACTTGCTGCAGCAGGGCTGTCACTCGGTTAATAGATCTCCCACCCACACAGGTCACCTTGGTCTGGTCTTCGGGATCTCTCCAAGTTTTCCAATACATAGGCCCTTCATTCCTATAGGCTAACCCTGCAAGCCACATCCCAAGTGCCCTGCAATAGGATCCTTAGCTGGGCTGCTGAAGAACACTGGCTTTCTCTGCCAGGCTTGCTCTGCTTGCGTGACAAAATCAGCCACAGATGTCATGTCCTTGATCTGGGCAGCCTGTAGCCATACCAGGATTTCTTTTGAATACCAAATTTCCTTTCTCCCTTGGAGTCATTATGATGACTCCAAGTGGTGAGTGATGCTGGGGTCCAGAGGGACAAGGCCCACCAGCAGTAATACCTGAATTCTAGAGCTGCTCTTTTCTTTTCTTTCTTTCTCTTTCTTTCTAATATATAGTTCTAGTTGTTGATGGACATTTATTTTATTTATTTATTCATATGTGGTGCTGAGAATCGAACCCCGTGCCTCACACATGCTAGGCAAGCCCAGTACTTCTGAGTTAAAACCTCAGCCCTAAAGCTGCTCCCTTTCTGATCCCCTTCTTCATCCACTTCAAAAGCATCCTCTACTGAGCTATTGCACCTGGCATGATTGTGACGCTAGTACCTGGAAATCAGCCACTGCCCTTGGCATCTGCCAACATGTTTTACTATTTCCTCAGTTCTTACATAATGAAATAAAAGAAGTGCTTTCTGGGCACCCAACACTTGCAGACATCTACTGAAAAAGCTCAGAACCCCAAATTGATTTCAGCAAGAGACTGTAGGCTACGGGGCTAAAGAACCATGGGGAAATGGACAAGTGGCAAGCACAAATCCTCCTCAATTTTGATGGAGTTGGACACAGACTAGTTAGGAAAAGGCTTACATAAATCCAGTAATTTAAAAAGTCACATGACCAGTGTTGTGCTGGTAGGCAGGAGCTGCTTTGCGCTTAAAAAGGAATGTGGCTGAACACTGCTGCCATAATCAGTGCTGCCACATCCAGCTGTTACAGTGTGTTCATAAAGGAGGATTATGAGAGCTATAAAACCAAGCAGATTGGGTGGGTAATTGTCCTGTGGAGCTCTGCTAAAGGAGAAATTGAATTGGCATCTCATATATTTTACTATCTTTCCTTCTAAAAACACAAAGTGGAGAACGCAGAGTTACCCTGAGGATTCATGAAAAGGAAAGATGAGGGGTGTGTGTGTGTGTGTGTGTGTGTGTGTGTGTGTGTGTGTGTGAGAGAGAGAGAGAGAGAGAGAGAGAGAGACAGACAGACAGACAGACAGACAGAGGGAGAGAGAACATGCACATGTGTGATTTCAGAAAGGAGACAGGAAGTAATTGAATAGTGGAGATCTGAAGGCCCTTGGGGAAGAAGGGACCAACAACCTGGTAATGATTGGACTCAGATTAGTCCAGGTACAAGGTAGGGCTTATGTGGAAGAAAGGCCAGACATTATGAGTAAGGCTGTGAGGCAAGCCACATTGAAAATGTGGTCACCTTTTTTAGGTCTAGGAAATTCAGTGTCCTGTGGAGGAAAACCTTGATTTTGATTTCTTCTTAATTAAAAAATCCTTCAAACTCAACCTTCTTGACCTCCCTCCTTTTAAATTCCAAATTCACAGTGGTGGCTTGATTTATGCATTCTTTTATCTATGATGTCAACATTTTTCTGTACTTTTTTTTTTTAATGATTTTTATTTATTATTTTTTTTTTTTAGTTTTCGGCGGACACAACATCTTTGTTGGTATGTGGTGCTGAGGATCGAACCGGGGCCGCACGCATGCCAGGCGAGCGCGCTACTGCTTGAGCCACACCCCCAGCCCTTTTCTGTACTTTTGTTTCCTATACCTGCAAAGATAAAATTGTTAGGAATAATAACAAAAAATAAGGGGGGCGGATTTCTAGAAAAACAGTGTGTCAGATGGAAGGCAAAAAATGAGGGCAAGTCCATTTGCTCTGAGTTTGACCTCATAACTAAAAGTAGCCCCAAATGAAACCAGATACCCAAGTTTCTCATCTATCTTATTTCTCTTCCACCTATCCTCTTCTTTTTGCTTTCTTCCTTGAAAACTTTTGCTCTTAGGACTGATTTTTTTCCTTTCCTTCTTGAACAGGAAACACCAGAAGAGTACTATTTAAAATGTGTTCCATCATCAATCAGCACTTACTGAGCATCTAGCATGTGTCAGATCCTGTTCAGATGTTTCAGATAAAGTCAGAGCAATAGGGATTCCTTTTCACCTAAAGCTTATAGTCTAGTGGGGAAGAATGACAAAGACTATGGGCATCCTTGGGCATGGATCAGGGGCAGCTTACTTGGTCTGGGGTCAGGGAAAATTCTAGAGATCACTGATCATAATGGCTTAGAGTAAAGGGGTACTACTCCTTTATCCCTGTGCTCTTTTTATTGACATGTAATAGCAATTTAAGTTAGATAGGGCTCTGCAGTTGCTCTTGTTATTTCTCAAAAGCTTCATTAGAGCTGGGCTGGATAGATACTCAGGAGGCTGTGTCTGGTTGAATGCAAGTTCAATGCCAGCCTGGGCAACTTAGCAAGACCCTGTATCAAAATAAAAAATAAAAAGAGCAGGGGATAAGATGGTAGAGCACTCTAGGGTTCAATCTCCAATACCAGGGGTGGGAGAGAACATCGTTAGATTGGCAAGGATATGGAGAAATCAGAGTCTTCATATGCTGCTGGTAAGAAAGTAAAGTAGTACTGCTGTTCTGGGAGGGAGGAAGGAAGGAAGATAACAGTTCCTCAAATAATTAACCATATAATTACTTTTTGACCCAATGATACCATTCCTAGGTATATACTCAAAAGAAAAGAAGTCCACATAAAAATCTCTACATGAGGGCTGGGGATGTGGCTCAAGCAGTAGCGTGCTTACCTGGCATGTGTGCGGCCCCCATTTGATCCTCAGCACTACATACAAACAAAGATGTTGTGTCCGCCGAAAACTAAAAAATAAATATTAAAAAATTCTCTCTCTCTCTCTTAAAATAAAAACTACATGAATTTCACAGCAGCAGTATTCATAATACCCAAAATTTTTTAAAAAATCCAATATCAGCCGGGCACCGTGGAACACATCTGTAATCCCAGTGGCTTGGGAATCTGAAGCAGGAGGAATGCAAGTTCAAAATAAAAATTAATAATTAAAAAAAATGGGCTGGGGACCTGGCTTAGTGGTTAAGTGCCCCTGGGTTCAATCTCTGGTACAAACAACAACAACAACAGCAACAATAAAACCAGTATCCATTAACTGATGAGTAGATAAATAAAATGTTGTTGTTTGTACCAGAGATTGAACCCAGGGGCACTTAACCACTTTCATAAAAAGAGAAGAAGTACTAATTCATGCTATAAAGTTCATTGGCAAGGGCTGGGGATGTGGCTCAAGCAGTAATGCGCTTGCCTGGCATGCGTGTGGCCCAGGTTCGATCCTCAGCACCACATACAAACAAAGATGTTGTGTCCCCCGAAAACTAAAAAATAAATATTAAAGTTCATTGGCAAATCTTGAAACATTACATTCAGTTAAAGAACCCAGTTAAAAAAAAGTGATGTATTGTTTGATTCTATTTATATGTGCTATGGTTTAGATATGGTTTGTCTCCCA